ACATTTAAACCAACCGAATGTATGTTTATCCCGCAACAACCATATATGGCGCCCAACGCTTCGTTACGTGCACAGATTTCGTATCCGGAAGATCCTGATTTGGTGGGGTTGACTGAGCAGAGGGTTTGCCAGATTTTGGAGAGGGTTGGTGTTGGGTATTTGATTGAACGGGAGGAATTGTATCGTGATGAGAGGAGGGTCAAGTTGGGAATGAGTGGGGAGATGGAGGGTGCTGGTGGTTTTGGTGGTGACGGGTTGTTGATAATGGAGAAGAAAGTAGGAGAGGGTGATTTGGGGATTGAGAATGGAGGAGATGATGTAGAAGTTGGGATTAGGCATCGTGATTCTGGGTTTAAAAGTTCTCGAAAGTGTTTATCTTTGTCGCAGTTACAGGATATGTTGGGTGTGAAGAAAGACAAATTGAAATCAACCGACGCGCAACAAAACGAGGATAATTCAACCTCGATAGAACTTGTTGCGGGTGCCAATAACATTGACACCGACTATAACTTTTGTTCAACGTTATCAACTGGTGAGAAACAGCGTGTAGTGTTTGCAAGGATATTGTTTTGGCGGCCGCGCATTGTGTTTATTGATGAAGGGACTTCTGCCGTTGATGCTATGAATGAAGCTAACATGTGGCAATCGATATTTGAATTGCAAAGTTGCACGATTGTTGCGGTCTCTCATAAGGATGTTGTCGGGTTTAAGCAAAAAGTTTTGTTAGGGTAGTCCTTTTTTTGTTTGCAAACCTAATGATGTTAAGATATGTACATGGATACATAAATAGGCTGGGAAATTTCCTCATAGGTGTTAGGTTGCTTGAATGTTCTTTCTCTATCTCTTTTCCATCATTTTAGACTTTTTTGATGTTCTCAAAACTTCTTATATTTTCTCATTGAACTATATTCACCTGTAATAAGACTTCATGTTAAACTTGAGAGCACAGAAACGTCGAAACAATTTGGGGAGCGGGACCAAGTTATGGACCAAATCTCAATGGTTCTAGAATGAAAAGCGGAAGAACAAGCACCAACGAAATCGATTACAGGCACAACTCTGCTTTATTATACATTCACATCGAAGAAATCAAAAGAAAAACAAACAACAACCTAAATACACTCCATATATACACACTATACATTATTGTACATGCAATATATGTCACTCTTTGTACATTATATGAAAACTAAATCAGACAACCCTGCCATCATGTTGCTTTTTGGAAGGCACCAAAACATGCCTTCCTTTCGCAACCTTCCAAAACACCGGTTCCCTCTTCAACTTGTCACATTCCTCCTTCTCCAACCCAACAGCCAACCAGCTACACTCTTCATGTTCAAACTTCCCATCGTTTATAACATGTCCCTCAGGAAAATTCACAAACCCATTAAACTGACATGTTTGTAACTTACAAAACATCCCCAACGGAATACAAACATCATTGTTGATATTGGTTAACCAGGTTGACAATGCAGTGTAGTATCCAGATTCATGATGGATTTCGTACATGTTGATTAATGGAATGTGGGCAAGAGAGTCGTGGGTTACTGTTGTGTGGATTTTTTTTTGGATTTGGTGAAGGGAGTCGAGGATTTGGGTCCATTGATGTTGGGTTAAACCTTTTTGGAGGAGTTGGTTGGGAACATTGGGCTCGTTGATTCCATGGCTGTGAGTTGTATAGTTGGTTTTTGTGAATGGAATGATAAGACGGGTTTCCGTTGAGATGGGTCGGAAAGCCCGAGTTAGAGGTGTTGGTGTTGTTGTTGTAGTGTGGCTGTCTGTGTTGTTGTCATGATGGGTGGAAGATGTTTCGATGAAGGGTTGTTCAAAGTGTTCTTCAGTGATGGTGACGACTGTAGCATCCTGAGAGGGTGGTGCGGCGGATTCCGTCGATTGGGTGGTGTTGGCAGTTAGCATACCTAAGGTCGACACTACTACCTAACTGTTAAAAAAGTGTAGAAAAACTAACAAAATAAAATATATTGCAAGGGCTTGAAGAAAGGGGTAAAAGAGCAAAAGAGCAAAAAAGTAAAAAAAAGTACACAGCAAAGCAAGTAGGTTTGCCTGTTATATACTCCGCACACCGATGCAGACGTGACTGATCATGAGTAAAAATTCATTAATTTTTAAATTTGTCTATATAACGCCGAGAGGAAAATAAAACGAGCGTCTCCTGATCAAAGCTCGCCAAAACTGAAAATGCATGGATGCATGAAATCCCAAATCACGCATTACAATGTTCAATTACAGTAACAAACTGCAAAAAGAAGTTCACCCCCAAAATCCTTCTCCCAAAGCAGTCATACACAAGTGCATTCATCTAAAGTTTCCTTAATGCACTGTTCAATTTGTACGCACATTATCATATTCGTGTCCTCACGCATCACAAATAATCACTGAGACCTATTTGCGTAAAAAAGCGTTGTCAATTTTCCTTCGTTCATGCAACGTTGTGAACTTCTTTTTTGGTTCAAAGGATTTGTTTACAGGGATGAATACAACAAACCATTATTTCGGGACACGACTTTGAATCTGCTTAACACACGTTGATACATCTGACTTATCAGATTCCACAGAGTTTCAACAATGACATCGTTGCCGAGCTGGTTCAAGGCAACGAAAAAGGACAATCTTCGTTTGAATTTGCAAAATATTTGATCTGCAAGATTTACAAAATATGTTCGCGTCAAAATGGAGTTTTGATTATACCCTACCCTTCTTTACACTAGATAAAAAATATGAACCATTCAATAGTATTACTTTCTTCTTGCAAAAGACCACGCATACCTTTTGCATTTGGAACGGGTGGCGGACAAAAAGCGTCTCACCTCCACTTCTCGTCACCGTTTGAGTCAACACCCAGTACTGCATGAATTTCCCATCCTGCATCCTGTCTATACGCACCTGACCTCTCAGATTTCAACCATAAACATCAGGACATCGTGGCCGAGCTGGTCCAAGGCGACAGACTTGAAATCTGTTCCGGGTTCCGGGCGCAAGTTCGAATCTTGCCGATGTCGATCTTGTTGTATGAACACGATTACATCCTAATCCACTATGAACTTGCCATGAAATTTTTTTTGGCTGCACTGATCACGTCGCGACCAGCCGGTGTCTCCGGGCGCAAGCTGAAATCTTGCCGACTTCCGTTTTTTGGTAAGACTTCAGTTGAAAAATAACCCCCTCTTGTGGAAAAACGTTTGGTGTCGCATCATCGCGTCATGACTTCTTTTTGGGCTATCCTCATATTTTTTGTGCAAATACTGTACAACGCCTCCTTTTGGAGTTAGTATCCATATTTTACGGTTGGCAAGCCCTCTCTGCCCAGTTAGAAACAGTGCCTCCTTTGGCGTTAATTTTTTGGTGCTTCAGCAACAAATATAAATACCAGTGGTCGTTTTTGACCAGAACAAACTCCAAAGTAAACACATTCAATTACAAGGACCAACAAACAAACATGACCAAGGTTGCAGCCGTCATCACCCTTGGACCTTGTGAACAAGCCTACATCGCCCCACCCGGTTGGACCTTCACACGAGTCTTTCAACCAATCCGAACAACATCTCGTCTCATTATCCCCTTCATCAAAACAAACTGGACATCCCACAGTAAAGGAATCGTAGGCGATGATCGTAAACTACCCAAAGAACTCGAAGCCAGAGGAATCACACAAGCGCAATGGGATCAAATCCTAGAATCGTTATGGCCAGTTCAAAAAAAGTCTCATACGGTGTTAACAAGTCTTGCAAATTATGTAACATTAGTTGGAATACCAATTGAACTTCATCATCAAAACAAATATCATGAGGCTGTTAAAGGATGGTTAGATTATGTGAATGAGACTATATTCAAACCAGCTGGGGTTGTTGCTAAATTGCCAACTTGTGAAAGTGATGTTTATGTTAGTGTGTCTAACGGTGGGCATAGCGAGAGTAGGAATGATCATCAGGAATGTAGTTGGTTGGCGATTTCTTTGGATGATGTGGAAAAGGAAAGGTTGATTTATGAACCTGTGTTTTGGTTTGCGTATGGAGGGAAATTGATTCCTGCTGGGAATCAACATCATGGGAGAGTTGTTTAAACGTTTTCTTTTTGGGATTGTTTCTCACCCGTTGTCACCTTAGGGGAATTGGATTCCTGCTGGTAATCAACATCATGGGAGAGTTGTTTTAAACGGGTTTTTTGTTATTTTTTTTTTTTTTTCGCGCTTTTCATGTTGGGTGGAAGCTTGTTTGGTTATTCATATTTTGACATTCTGGTTTGACATGTGCAGTGTTTTTTGACCTTCATTCTCGGATTCAACTTGGGTTCAACCACCTACTTTATATTGTGTTGATTATCCCTGTTGCCTTTGATTTGTACTTTGAAACATGCCAAATAATTTGTTTCTTGATAGGAACTTCCAACCCTCTTTACAAAACCCTCTGAACAAACGTCGCCTGTTTTTTCTTGTGAATATCGTAATATTTTGAGTTTTCGCAGTTTGTTAATAATATTTATATCTTTTCGTTATTCTGGCCATAGGTAGAGTTTTGCTTCCAACCTTTCTTCTTTCGTGAAATATCCCATCAACAATCATTTGATCTCAAAGCCATAGTTGAGCCATCTTATGCAAATCCAGTTCTAAAAAAAGAAAGAACAGAACGTATATTTTCAAATCATTACCAATAAAACAAAAAGTGGACGCTCGTAGATTTATGCCAAACACTGCAAAATAAAGGCAGCAATTTGACACCACTCTGGTAATGCTCTTCCGAATATGAGCTCCCAGATTGCATGCACATACACCAAGACATCGTGGCCGAGCGGTCCAAGGCGACAGACTAGATATCTGCTCCGGTTTCCGGGCGCAAGTTCAAATCTTGCCGATGTCGAGCAGCAGTTTCATGGATGGTTACGTTAACTTTCTCATTGTTTTTGCAACAACTGGTTTACTTTTTGTTAATACCTTGTCATAGCACGACGACGTGACGGCTCAGATTTCATGTACTATCATCAGGACATCGTGGCCGAGTGGTCTAAGGCGATAGACTAGAAATCTATTGTGGTCTCCACGCGCAAGTTCAAATCTTGCCGATGTCGAGCTTGCGCTGCTGTTTGGTGAAGTCCTCCATTCCTATTATTTTGTTTTTGATACGGGAATCTTGAAAATTTTTTTGGTCCGTCAATATATAGCGCGAGGACTTTAACTCCCAGATTGGATACCCTTTCATCAAGACATCGTGGCCGAGAGGTCCAAGGCGGTTGACTCGAAATCTGCTCCGGTTTCCGGGCGCAAGTTCAAATCTTGCCGATGTCGAGCATCAGTTTCATGGATTTTTACGTCAACTTCATCATTGTTTGTGCAACAACTGGTTCTCCCTTTTTGTTAATACCTTGTCATAGCACGACGACGTGACGGCTCAGATTTCATATGCTATCATCGGGACATCGTGGCCGAGCGGTCTAAGGCGATAGACTAGAAATCTATTGTGGTCTCCACGCGCAAGTTCAAATCTTGCCGATGTCGAGAACTCTCTCTTTTGCACTCTTGCCGATGTCGAGAACTCTCTCTTTTGCACACTTTGGCAGTCTTGCAGACTGCCTATGTGCGACAGTTGACAAAAAAAATTTTTTTTTAACAAGTCTTCAGGACAACGATGTCCTGACCTCCCACATTCGCCAAGCTTTAATGGACATCGTGGCCGAGCGGTCCAACGAGGCAGACTCGAGATCTGCTCCGGTCTCCGGGCGAAAGTTCAAACCATGCCGATGCCCATGTTCAGTTTTCCTCATAGTGTTCGTGGTGATCACATTGGGACCTAATTTACCACATACATCATGTTTTGACGTTCCTTTCCTGTCCTGCGCTGGCTTCCTTTTTCCTTTCAACTGAAAGATGGACAAAAAAAGTTTGTTAAACAATGCATCCATATTCCTCTTTCCTCAAATTTCATATATTTTTTGTGTTTGGTGGGGGTGTCAGGTGTCGGATTTCATCGTATATCTTCATTAAAGTTAAGTTAATTAATATAACTACTACTACAACGATGGTGACAATTTGTTGGTTTGTTGGACCCTCAGCGACTTCTTTTCTTCAGGAGCAAGTCGATAATCATTAAAAAAAGGAGTAGAAAGAGAGGAAAAAAAAGGGAGATAATGTAGGAAGGGTAAGCGAGCATCCAAAGGGAGACGAAGAATAGTGTGAGAGAGACAAATAGAGGGAAGAAAGAAAAAAAATGGGGCGGAAATAGACAAAGAACAAAAAAACCCATCAATCCTCGGTCCCTCTCCAAACAAAACATTGCTCAAAAATATACCTCAAAAAAGTGCCAAGCAAGCAAAGTAATCAGAGAAAGAGCACGAACAACAAAACACAAAACACACACAAGCAGGAAAGAAAGCAAAGCAAAAAATACAAGACCAAGCAAAAAAAATAAGATGGGAAATCAAAAGGATTTACCAACCCAAAAGGACCACCCTTTGACAAAGCAAAACAAAAAACACTGATAACTCATTCACACAAACAAAGGACGAGAACCCAAACACACTAAGAAGTCACTACAAGGAAAAGGTAAACAAAAACAAAACAACCCAACAAAATAAACACCAATCAGCAACAAAACACCACCATCCCAATAACCATCACCCCAAAACACGAAAAAAAGACCCAAATTCATTTCATGCATTCATTAATTCATCATTTTCATCAAAAAATTCCGCAGTCAAATCGATCCACAATTTAATCCACCAAAATCAACAAAAAAAAAAAAAAATAGTCAAAACAGCCCAATAACCTAAGCCATTCAAAACAAACAAAACAAAGAGGGGCAAAAAAAAAGTATAACCAAAAGCTCTTAACAAGCAAACCCAAAAATTCCATATGCGAGAGCCAGGCAGCGTTGGACATCCAGTTACATTACTGCTTATCGAGATCGTCAACAGAAATCTGCTTCATTGGAGGAAGTTGTTGGGGATTCATCATGCCGCCAAACATACCATTCGGTGAAGGCACTACATATTCCCAGAAAGAAAGAGAAAAATACTCGGTCAATAAACCTCAACAAAGACAACAAAAATCTTGAGTTATTTTTTATTTCTCACCTCCGCCCATGCCGCCGCCCATTGGCATACCAAAAGGTCCAGGAGGCATTCCCATCATGTTGCCATGACCGGGACCATGCGGGCCTGGAGGTCCACTCATGAATGGCATACCACCAGGGCCATTGGGTCCAAACGGCATCATGTTCTGCGTAATCCAAATTTGAACAAATGACAAGTTAGGCTCGCGTTGTCAAAAAAAGAGGAGGAAAAGAAGATAATAAAGACAAACAACAAAACGTGACTCGCACCATATTCATGGGTCCATCCATCGGTCGCGGCATATTGACTCCAGGTCCATCCAGAGGTCGAGGCATGTTAACTCCTGGTCCACCCATCATCATACCCTGCATATCAAGACCTGCCAAAAAGAAGAAAAATCAGAAAACCCAAAACAAAAGGAACAGTAAAAAAGAAAAAAAATTAAAAAGAACTCACCCCCAGGTCCCGGGTTCCCCATCCGCTGATCTCCCAACATCTTAAACATCCCATTATCAGGTCTCCCAACTCCCATGCCACCTTGATTAGCAACAGTCTTCTTAGCATTAATACTATTCTGCACCATCGCAGCCAACTGATCATCCACCCGACTACTAGCAACTCCCTGAGGAGGAGGCCCCATGTTACCACCCATCATCATAGGATTCAACGGAGGCCCTCTAAACATCTGCTGTCCAGGTTGTCCCTGTCCCATATTGCCCATAGGTCCAGGAAGTGGTAATGGTCGTGGGAACGGTGGCATGCCATTCATCATTCCAGGTTGAGGGCCATTAGGACCCATAAATTGTTGAGGGAAAGGTGGTCCACGAAGCGGAGGACCTTGATGCATTTGAGGAAGGAATGGTGGTGGCATTTGGTGATGTTGTTGCATGTGTGGAGGTTGCATGTTGTTAGGGAAGGGTGGTGGCATGTTTCCATGACCCATTATTTGAGGGAGAGGAGTTCGCATCGGTCCAGTCATCATGTTCATTTCGGGGTTCGGGGGTTGGTTTTGAATCTAGCAATAAAGCAAAAATAGGGAGTTAATAAACGAAAAACAATTAATTTAAATCAACACAAAAAGCAGTCTGCCTTACATTCATTGAGGATCGCTCCAACATGGCCATTACACGGTTCATATCCATCGCCTCACCATTACCACCGCCACCACCATTATTACCCGGCTGACCACCAGCATTGACATTAGGACCATGTTCCGGTTCACGGTTCCCATCCGGCCTTCGTTCCCCACGATTCCTATTAGGTTGAGCCCCCAACGCATTCAACACATCTTCCTCCGACATCATCTTTGGAGGTCGACCACCCATTCCGCCCATTCCACCCATCCCAGAAGGTCCCGGTCCCATCTGCTGTGGTGGCCCCCTACCAATTCCTTGCATTCTCAAAATCTCCTCCTCTGTCAAGAACCTCGTTGGCGGAATTCCATTATTGGGTCCAGGTCCAGGACCACCAGGACCACCACCACCACCCCCACCAGCAAGTTGACTCAAAATCTGTCTTTCCATCATCTCAGCTTCAGCAGGTGAAATACGATGAGTTGGCATACCATGAGGCTGCGTAGGCGGAGGGTTTCCAGCCCCACCACCCATACGAGCATTTGCCGAAATCTTTCCCGACATGATCTGCTTGATGATTTCCTCCTCTGACATCATCTTATGACCACCCGGTGGTGGAGGGCCGCCGCCTCCAAGATGCATTGGAGGTTGTAAAGGCCCAGGCCCACCAATACTGACCCCTCCAAGACCAAACCGTGACAAGATGTCATCACCATTTTGCTCGGGAGGACCCATCGGCGGTCGTCCTTGGGGTCCTTCCTGCGCACCATCCCACGGTAATCCACCTCTTCCACCACGAGAATCCTGTGGCGGTAACATGCCAGCACCAGGAATATCAAAACCAAGGAAACCACCACCCTGACCAATCCGCTGAGGAGGTTCGTGCGGATCCTCAGTCGGAGATGCAGATTGATGATGCACACCCTCCGGTTCCTTTTCAAAAAGCTGATGGAATCTCGACACCGCTCTTGAATCTCCCTTGCGTCCAGCTCCCGGGGGTCCAATCGGCACAGGTGCTCTTCCATCAACAGGAGTTTTAGCAACAGATTCCAAAGATCTCGACGATGGCGACATATCATTTATATTCTCCAAGAAAGGAGAAGTAAGATCCACCCTACCATCAGCCAACGAACCAAACAAGCTATCAACACTCGACGAAGAAATCTTCCCAGCGCTACCACCAACATCCAACGTTGACGATAAAGTAGAAGTAGACGCTTTCCCTGTCAACTCCCTATC